ATCACTCCAGGCAAAAGGAACAGCCTATGCAAAGATCCCATGGTACAACAGAGTCTAGAAGAGTAAACAATAGTCATGCCACATAATGACATGTTGGTCAATGAAGGATCATATATATGACAATGGTCCCATATTATGATGGAGCTGAATTTCCCATAAGAAATGTTAAGGGTATGTAGTTCAAAAGGAATAACTTTTTCTCTGATGGGAGCAATATCTGAGGGGTTTGGCAATAGATTTCCTATCACTCACAGCACCTCAGTTTTGACTGCACAGATTACATTTCATTCAATCAGCCACTGACATGTTTCAGCAGAGGAGCCTGTCCCAGTGCTGCATGTTCAGAGGACCCCCACCTAGCTGATCATGTTCAGAGTACACTGCTGTAGCTTCTTTGTTGAGGACTAAGATCCTGTACAAGGACATAGGTCCACAGGAGCTACTTTAACAAGTATTAAGTATCACTGCCTTTTAGTAAAAGCTTTTTGTGGTAGTGTGAGCCAGCCTAATATCTTTAGGTCATAATGATGTGAAAAATGGATGTTTATTTCTTCCATCAATTCAATGTCAGAAAGAGTCTTTTGCCAGATAGGGTCAATAGAACCAAAAACAAATTTACAGAGTAAAAATATTGAATCCTCTCCATGTAAAAAATCATCTTTAAAAAAAAAAAAATAAATACCACAAAATTCCTTTATGTGCCCACAGCTCCAACATGTAATAGTCAAAATCATATTGCCATAACAATCCCTTTGTTCCTTTACCTCTCCATCTTGATTTCTTTTTTTAAAAAAAATTTGTTTTTATTGATGTCAGAGAGAGGAAGGGAGAGGGAGAGAAATACTGAAACATCAGAGAGAATAATTGATAGGCCGCCTCCTGCATGCCCCCTAATGGGGACCTATCCCAAAACCCTAGCATGTATGTGCCCTGATCAACAATTGAACCATGACTTCCTGTTTCATAGGTCAACATTCATCCACTGAGCCACATGGGCCCGGCTCCATCTTGATCTCTTATTCCTTCTAATCCTCAGGCCACCTTTCACTCTCCTGACAGTCACTATGATGATGATCTACCTGGAATACTATGGAAAGACCTGCACATTTCAGACTTTATTCAAGACATCGCTAGAGAACCCCCAAAACAACAGGGGAAACAATAACACCAGAGGAAATTTTAGCTTTCGATACCTACAGCTACAGTAAACTATACAGACTAACTCCTAGCCAGATGTCAGAGGAAGGTCTAATTCTTGGAGTACTTACTCCCAGATCATGCTCATAGTGCTAAGTGTGAGAGCATGTTCCTCCTTGATCCCTGCTCTCTGCACTAACTGTTGGGAACTCAGTTCCCTTATTCTGCTCTACTCGTCCACTGTTAGGTCCGAGCCTCTCTGCCAGGGACTGGACCTTCATGGACACCGGGTAGTAGATGGAGAAGCCATGAGAAGTTGTGGGTGTATAAGAGTCTTAATTGTAGAAGCTAGTGGCCATGTAGCCATTGCTAACAAGGAGCCATTAGACAAAGTAGTTCTCCAAAGTAGTCCTTTACGATAGGTAGCCGCATACCGGCTAGTTAAATCATCTTTCCCACAAAGCACCAGCAGCCTCTGTACCTACAGCTATTATCTGAGCAACCGTGTGCTGCCTCTAGACCAGTTGTTGGCCGCTGCCGCTGCCTCACATAGCAGCAGCACCTGAGCTGTCTAACCTCAGAGTCTCAGCAGCCTCTCCAGCCTCTCTCTAGCACACCAGCTGGTCAGTAACAGGTCTTATACTATTTAGACAAAAGAGGCTTCTTTCTAAGTAGTGGCCTCACTAATTTGGGTTATAGAAGGGCACAGTGTACCGTGAGATTGCTGTAACCTTGCATCTGTAAATAATCCTTGGGACATCCAGGCCCTGGCCATCTGGTGGACTCTGGCATGGTTGCCAAACCAGGTAAACATAAAACTTCACACTAAAAGCTTATTTACCTCAGTTCCTTTTACTAGTACATCTGACTTTCAACGAAAAACTACAAGGCATACTAAGACAAAAAGTACACCGTGAAGAGACAGACCAACTGTCAGAACTGATACTGGACACAACGGGTCTGAGGCTGCTTGTCACTACTTGAACCAAATTAAGTAGAAACAGGCTGCATCACTTATGAGCATTTATTCCAATAATACTAGCAGTATGGGGAGGGCAGACGGTCATCCTGAAATTCTACTCTCATCCCCCTGGCTTGTTTACTGATTATATACAAGTGAAAGAAGATAGCTATGTGCAGTTGCAAGTGTAAGAGGGAAAGGCGGAGGGGGTGGGGGATAATAGCGGCTGCAGTCTGGCCTTCAGGAGCTCCAAGTCCTGGTAACAAGGTGGCTAATGTCCTATGATGTTACAAATTGCTCAGCCAGTTCCTGGAACCAGAGAATGGTCAGCATTCCCGAGGCAAACTCCCAGAGGGGGTCAGGGTCCAGGCACAGCAACCAAATCAAAGCATTTCCTATCCTCGGTCTGTTCTCAAAATGTATTTCTTTTCTGAGTAATAGACCCATAGAGGCATCTTATTTTATCTTTTAACAGCCTGTTTCCTCCTCCAGTTTCCCAAGGTCTGTAAAAAAAACTTTTATCTATATACAATAGGTAGCCACCAGCTAGTTAAATCATCTTTAGTTAGTAAGATGAATAACTATTAAACAACTGGCTCTATTCTCTCTCTCCCTCTCCCTCTCTCTCTCTCTCTCTCTCTCTCTCTCTCTCTCTCTCTCTCTCTCTCTCTCTCTCTGTCATCAATGATGAGAGAGAATCCTTGATCAGCTGCCTCCTGCACGCCCCACACTGAGAATTGAACCCACAACCCGGATGTATACCCTGACTGGGAATCTAACCGTGACCTCCAGGTTCATAGGTAGATACTCAACCACTGAGCCATGCAGTGGGCTTTATTCTTATAACACGCCCTTTCTTTTATATGCCCTTCCCCCCTATCAAAGCCAGATTTAGATATGGCAGAGACATTGATATGGCAGAGATATTGGAATTATCAGACCAAGAATTTAAAACTATTAATATGTTAATGGGTTTAATGAAAAAAGTGGACAACATTTAAGAACAGGTGGGTAGTATAAGCAGAAAGATATAACCTAAGAACTAAAAGGAAATACTAGAAATAAATAACACTGAAACAAAAATGAAGAAAAAAAATAAGAGTGTCTTTGACAGGCTGATCAGTAGATGAGCATGGCTGGGGAATCGATAAACTTGAGTAAATGTCAGTAAACATTTCCAAAATGTTTAGAAAATACAAAGAAATATAAAGAAAAAGATGAAACAATATCTAAGAAATGTAGGACAATTACAAAATGCACATGAGAATACCAGGAGAAGAGAGAAACAATATTTGAAGCAATAATAATCAAGAATTTCCCAAAATTAATGACAGACACCAAACACAGATGGAGGAAGCTCCAAAATTACCAAGCAGGATAAAAATAAAAAATCTACACCTAGTCATATCATATTCAAACTGCAGAAAATAAAACACCAAATGAAAATCTTGAAGCCTGGGGGTAGGAGAAGGGAGGAAAGGTAAGAATCACAAGGAACTTCTCTCCAGAGAGCATGCAGGTACAAAGAGAGTGGAATGAAATGCTTAGCATATTGAAGGAAAAAGCTCACCAGCCTAGACTTCTGTATCCAGCAAAATTATATATTAAAAGTGAGGAAGAAATAAAGACTTTTTCGAGCAAACAAAAATTTAAAAATTTTGTCACCAGGAGATTTGACGTGCATGACATATAAAATTTTATCAGAAAGGGCGATGATATAGGTCAGAAACTGAGATCTACATAAAGGAAGAACTTTACAGAAAGAATAAAGGCAAGGTTAAAAGCGAGATTTTCAGAATTTTACACATTTCCAATCTGGGTATTTTTGGGACCTCCAACTAAATGTCCCACGGACAGCTGAATATGTGAATTGCCTCAGGCCTTGGGTGGAGGCCGGAGGGATATGGTAGCCATTCCTCTATCTAGGGAAGGAGTTAGCCCTTGGAAAGGGTAGTCTCACTAAAGCCCTGTAAGGTAGTCAGGGCAGGTAATTCATTCGAGCAACAAAAAACATACACTGTGTGCCGGGTTCTGTGCGTGGCGGTGGGAGTAAGTAGACACCAGGAAGGGTGACAAGGAGAAAGAAGAGTAAAACGGTCACTGAGGGCTGGCTGGACTAAGCGCACAACAGAAAAATGAAAAGTGAAACTTATTTTACTTTAAAAATTTTTCTTAATTAAATAATACAAAAAGAAATACAGAAAAGCACGTAGATTACCTACAGTGTCACCAGCCAAAGAAAACCAGGTTAACAATCTGATGTCTCCTTTCAAACGTTGAAAGGTGGCGCCCTCTTCTGCTTTGTAAGAGGAACAGTTCAGTTCTCACAGGAAGGCTTTGCAGCCGCGGGAGGCGGGAATCTCAGGGATTCCGGAGGGTGACGAGGATGGAGAGGACGAACGGCACGGCCCCGCCTTACAGACTACAAAGTCGGTAGTCTGTAAGAGAGAGGCGTTACTCCCATGCCGGTTCCGCCTAAAACGGCGGGGCCGGGAGGACCCCCACAGGCTGTGAAGGAGCCTCGCACCCGCCCAGGACCTGACGGAAAAGGCGGGACCTCCGGGGCGTGCCTTCCGGGGACGGTGCTTTGTGGCGCCAGCACGCTCCCCGCCCCCGCCCATGGCCCATTGGCTCTCCATTACCGCCCTTTGCCGGGGCAGGAAAAGCTGGTCGCAGGGCGGGAAGCGCGGTAGCCCTCGGGTTCGGGACGTTTGAGGCGGAGCGAGCGTCCGGGAACCATTGGGCCGCCAGATTCTTCACCCCGGCTCCCGCCCAAATTGGAGAAAACCTACAAGACTCTGGCGGCCCATGGGAGGCGCTGAGCCGGACCGCTGAACTCCCGGCGTCCATCGGAACAGCCGAGCCCGAGGGCCTCCGGAAGCCCCGCCCCCGGACGGAGCCAGACAGCCTTTGGGGGAAGAACCTGGGTCCTGCCCGGGAGGCAGAGCGCGCCTGCCATGGCTGAGCCCCCGGGCGCCTGCCCGGCTGCCCTGCGCTTCGCTGCCGCTGCCAACTGGCTGGTCGTGCGCCGACGCTACGTGGACCATTTCCCACGAGTGTTAGAGTTTCTGCGGTCCCTGCGCGCTGCTGCTCCTGGCTTGGTTCGCTACCGCCACCACGAGCGCCTATGTATGGGCCTAAAGGCCAAGGTATTAGAGCCAGTGAGCCCGAGAACAGAAGAGGCGAAGGGGCGGGATGCCAGGATCAGACTAGGACAGACCGCTTAGGGGGTTGGGAGCGGTTGCAAAAGGGGAGCTTGCCCCGAAGTGGGAATTCTGAGCTCAGTCCCATTCACAGGTGGTGGTGGAGCTGATCCTCCAGGGCCGGCCTTGGGCACAGGTTCTGAATGTCTTGCAACAACACTTTCCAGAGTCTGGACCTGTAGTGCGGGACCCCAAAGCTGTAAGTGATCCTTGGAACAGTCCCCACCCACAGTAAATCCTTGGTGCCCCTAATTTGTCTGCCCTCTTCAACAGACAAAGCAGGATATGAAGAAGATCTCAGAGGCACAGGAAGCCTTTTGCCAGCAAGTGAAATTGCTGGCAGAGGCCCCTGTGGATTTGGCTTGGAAGTTGCAGGTGAGACTAGCTAATTTGAAAGCTATGATATGGCTTTCTTTTCTAGTCCCCTTCTGACCTGCTTTTTTCTGTCTGCAGGAACTTGAACAAGAGTATGGGGAACCCTTTCTGGCAGCTATAGAAAAGCTATTTTTTGAATACTTGTGTCGGCTGGAAAAAGCACTGCCTATCCCACAGTCACAGCAGGTTTTCCTAGGCCTAAACACAGAGGGCAGAGTGTGGGGCGGTTGGACCAAGGTCTGTGTTCTTTATGCTCTCTCCCTGCCCACAGCTTCAGGATGTGCTGAGTTGGATGCAGCCTGGAATTTCAATCACTTCTTTTGCTTTGAGACAATATAGTGCGGACATGGGGTGGCCACTTCCAGGTACCAGGGCCATCTGGAAAAAATTAGAAATGTGGGGGTGGAATATGTAGCCTGAGACCTTTTGAGACAGCCAGCCCGTTATAGGGGGTTACATGGGCTTGAGACCCAAGGAACCAGATTGAGTTCATGTGTTACTGTCTGTTCTCTTTACAAGGAACATTCTTTTCTTTCTAGAGTGCTCAGTTACTAATTCAATGAACATGTCAGAGCCCATGGAGCCCAGTCCTCCTCGGCAACCAAGACCAGCACTCCATCAGCCTGTGCCAAAAGCCAAGCCTGGCCCACACCTTCCTCACGGAGCAGCCTCAAGAAAGCACCCAGAACCTTTGGCTGGTCGCCACTTCAATCTGGCCCCTCTAGGCCAGCGAAGAACCCAGGCCCAGTGGGCATCCAGTAGGGTAGGCCATAAGGAGCGCCCCACAGCCATGCTATTCCCCTTTAGGAATCTGGGTTCATCAACCCAGGCCATATCTAAACCTGAGAATAGGAAAGAACAAGGGACACACATGGCAGTTCCAGCAGGTGATGCCAGCACGAGAACAGCCTCCACTGGAAAGTCTAAGAGTCCATCCCAGACCCTGGGCGGAAGGACTGTGAAGGAGAACCCAGTTGACTTGTCTGTCTCAGAGCAAAAGGAGTAAGTGGAACCGTTGCTTCTGCCTAACAGCACATTCCTTGCCTGCTTTCCCTTCACCCTATCTTCTTTGTTTGTTCCCACCCCAGGAATTGCTGGGCCTGCCCCATGGAGCCCCTGAGACTGTCATTATCACCTCCTAGGGCCGGGAAGCCAGGTAGGTATACTGAGTCAGGACTGGATCAGACAGCCTCCTCTCTTGGGACTCTTGAGGCCTCTGTTCACCTAGAGGAGTACTGTGATTCTAGTTTCCTTCTTGCAGAGTGTCCTCCACCTCTGTGCAGCCCTGTCATTACCATAGGGGACTTGGTTTTGGACTCTGATGAGGAAGAAAATGGCCAGAGGGGAGGAATGGTGAGTAAGGAGGAACAGAAAGCTGGGGAAAGGAGATGGGGCAGAAGACAGAAACCCATGCTCCCTGAATATGGAGGGCTCAGGGAATGTTTCTGGTGACAGGATCGCCCTGCTCCTTTCTCTCCAGGAGTCTCTGGAAAACTATGAGAAGACAAAGTTTGACACCCTGATCCCCACCTTCTGTGAATATCTCCCCTCTTCTAATCCTAGTGCTGCCTCTGCCCCTTCCCGTGACCATACAGACTCCTCTGATAGAACCAGAATGCCTTCTGCATCTTGCCTGTTTCCTTCCTCCTCACCTCTGCAGGCAGTTTAGTGGGGATAAAGTGGAAGCCCAGGCTTGGGTTGCTTAAGTGTATGGCCCAAATTACTTTGTAATGCTGGATCATTAAACTTTCTGTTTGTTAAAACACTGTGTTGCTGTGAGGGAGGGGAATTAAGGCTTCTATAGGGTCAGTGTAAATCATTCCTTAGAAACGTAACTGGCCTCTCTCTCCAGGGCTAAAAGAATCCCTTCGCTCTTTTACTTCCCTTGGAAAGTGTTTGAGTGTATCAGAAAGCTTACCAGGGTTGAGAACCTGGATGAGAAATTTCCTTTTGCTATTCTGAAAATATCCGTGTGTTCTGATGCCAGAATGTATACTCTGTAAATTTTCATGCTGCCAGGTTATCTAGGGGGTTAGCACTTGAATGGAGATGCTTCACAGAAAAAGTACTCACTGTCCTTGACTCCACTGGTCAGTGCCACCTCCACCTCCACCTCCACCTCCACTTTCCCGAAGCCAGCACCCAGATGCCAGACTTGTGTAGAAAGCCCCAGAATCTCTTTTCAGTCATTGGGATCTCTCTTTATAGAGATACTTTAAAAAAATAAACACTTAAGAGCTTTTTAGATGTTCAAAGATTGCATTTAATGAAGCATGATGATCACAACATGATTCTAAAAGCCTTCCTCTTAAGACCAGGGCCATATCTAAAACGCTTATGTCCTGTATGAATCAGTATCTTTTTCTTATAGTAATCTTCAGAAGCTAAGTCTCCAGATTGCCATTTGATTATCAACTTCATTTTCTCAGCCTGCCTGCCTTGCTTCCTAGTGAGTGTGTTGTGGATGCAGATAGAGAAGTACAGCATTATTGCAGGAACTCTCAGGAGTGAGATGGTCAAATAACACTCACAGCACTGGGATGGGTGAGGGGCCACTTGCGAGGCCCTGTGGTTTGATGCCGGTGCCTTAGGAGGGCAAAGCTGCTCAGATCTGGCTCAAGTCACTGAAGGCTGGATTCACCTGCTGGGTGACGCGGATGAAGGTAGTTCTCCGACTCAGCTCCTTCAGCTTAGCTGCTCCTACGTAGGTACACGTGGAGCGGATGCCTCCAAGTATGTCTCGGATGGTTTGTTCCACATCCCCTTTGAAGGGCACCTCCACCGTCTTTCCCTCCGAGGCCCTTAAAGGAGGAAAATTTTTTTCTTTTTCCTTCGGGATTCCTTAAGCCAAATGACTCTTCCCCAGTCTATGGCATTAAACCCTGGTTCACCACTTTTCTCCCAAGAACGATACCATCCATCTCTCAGCAGCCCTGAATTCCGCCACCACCCTACTTAGCCATGCCTTCCAAGAACCCTCAGCTCCTAGGCCTCTGCACATACCTGTACTCAGCAACGCCCCCCGCATACTTCTTCATGGCTGTGTCAGAACTCATTCCGTAGAAGAGCTTGTATTTTTTGCCATTCCTCTCGACGAGCTCACCACCTGACTCGCTGTGCCCAGCCAGCATGCCACCCAGCATCACAAAGTCAGCCCCTGCCCCTACCAATGAGAGGAAAGATGAATCTGGCCCAGGTGTTCACGTGCCCACCCACCCTCAGAAGCAAACTCACACCAAATTCTAAAGCCACTAGAGATTCCCTGTCTGGCTTTGCTCTCTTTCTGCTGTTTTTGCTGTCTTCTGGTAATTTTTTTTTTTACTTTGCCCAATTGAATAAGACTCACTTCAAGTGCTCCAAGAGCAAAGGTCTCCAATTTTTGTTGGGAGTGTGAGCAAGGATCACCTGGACAGTTGTAAAAAATGCAGGTCTGCAGCCTACTCTCCAGAGCTGGATTTTGTAACTCTGAGGGCATTTACATAGCCCAACAGCCAGCCCAGGGGCTGGTGCAGATGGTCCTGGCCCACACTTGGGAAAGTCCATATCAGAGTCTCGGCTGGCTTTCCCCAATGACACCACCACAGGCTTCAGGATCACGAGTTCATATTATGAAAGAACCTGAATGGCTTCCTCAGCCTTTCTTAGCCTGATCCTAGACCACATGTGTCAAACACAAGGCCCGCGGGCCAAATCCGTCCCGCCAGGCCTTGCAATGTGGCCCGTACCGCGCTGTCATCACTGCACTCCGCTGCGTTTCCATCACAATGACAGTTTATGACTGTTCAGTAAACCATTCGGCCCGCGATTTAGGCTGGATTTTAGATTTTGGCCCCTTCTCTGATTGAGTTCGACACCCCTATCCTAGACCCTCAAAGGTAACGCATCCTCTCCTATAGGATCCTCCTCTTGGCCCTCACAGTGTCCTTACCGAAAGCCTTGGCCACATCCCCAGGAGAGCTGCAGCCTCCATCCTGCAAAGTAAGAAGCAACGTGAAGAAACAGCATGGCTCAGCAGTGTCCCCACAGTCCACCTCAAAGCTGACAGGAACCTAGGAGTCCTGATCCACCTCTATCAGAGCTCCCATACCCGGTAGAAAACCCAGCTGTTTGGCAGCCTCACACCCTGCTCTGCCCTTGGACCTTACTGAAATGATGTGGCCTTTGAGGCCATGAGCAGCATCTGCACACTCCATCACTGCACTAAGCTGTGGATACCCGACTCCAGTTTTCTTCCGGGTGGTACACACAGAGCCTGAGAAGAACGTGACAAGGATGAGAGAAGTGCTTTATAGCTATGTGCCACTGAATAGACAGCCAATGGCCCCCAATAAGCCAGCTTACCTGGTCCGATTCCCACTTTGATGATGTCGGCACCAGAGAGGATCAGCTCTTCTACCATCTCTCCTGTTACCACATTCCCTGCCTAAGACAAAGCAATCAAAACAGCATTCTTAGGGTCAGAAATGAAGAGGAAGTTGTGTGCTCTCATATATACCATGCCTGGACCAGGTCCTTCCAACATTATTACAAAGAAGGGTACCTGGGTCCCCTCGCCGGGGCCCTCAGAGCTTTTAGACCATCCACTCCAAAGGATCCTGCTTCCCCAGTGAGGTAAGGGGGTTAGTTGCCAGTGTCACTGTTGCATTGGGATAAAACTGGGGTCCAACTGGACCAAGATGAAATTTGATTTACCCAAAAATTTCCTGCCCTTAAGCCATTAAGTGATAAAACCTCTCTGGCTTAGGGGAAGACATAATGATATAGGCTATATACCATCTACATAGCTGTATTTGCTTTTTTGTTTTGTGTATTTGCTTCTGATGAACAGAAAAGAGCTCCTTCAATGCTGTGAGGAAAATTAGGTCTTCTAATCATTCCCCTAAGCTTGTAAAATAAAACATTAGATGTGCCAAATCCGATTTGGCTCAGTGGATAGAGCGTCGGTCTGCAGACTGAAAGGTCCCAGGTTCGATTCCAGTCAAGGGCATATACCCAGTGGGGGTTGTGCAAGAGGCAGCTGATCGATGATTCTCTCTCATCGATGTTTCTAACTCTCTATCCCTCTCTCTAAAAAATCAATAAAATAAAAAAAAAATATATATATATATATATATATTTTTTTTTTTTTAAAGTTACATGTGATCCCTTTAATAGGATTGTAGTATCATGTTCATTTCGGTAGGCAGGTAGATAAGTATCACAGATATGTACAATGCATAAGCACATGATTTGTTGAGTAATGTCAGGAACACTGGATTTACCAAGACAATGTATCAAGGGTCAGAGATTGCAATGACCAATAAACATTTTAAGCATGGAGCCTTGGATAATCACACGATTAAGCAGACCAGGAAAATGAAAATTCAGTAGAGGAGGAATTGATGCAACAAAAAAAGAGTGGCACAAAAGAGGGGAGAAGGAGAGGGATGTACTAACTAGAGTAATAGAAACATACCATGATGGTGTGTCCAGGGAAACGTTTCCGTACATCCTTTACAAATTCAACAAAGTGTTCAGAGTAGCCATTTGCCACGTCCAGACATATATATTTCATCTGGGGAATAGCTTCCAGGATCTGTTCTAGCTGCTCAAAGTCAGAAGAGCCTGTGCCTGAGCTGGCAGCCAGATGCTGTGGGAGAAGCGGGGGCATTGGCATGGGAGGCATTAGACAGCTGTGGCATGTTTGAAAAGACCTGATGAGCAGTCTAAGAGTTGATCCCCAGGACGCCAAGAAAAGATTCATGGGAAAATGAAAAAAGGAAGGGATCACGAAAGGGCCAGTATTACCTCAAGACAGTCGGGATTCTGGCTGGCAAACTCTTTCCACTGCTCCAGGCTGTAATGTTTGTGGACAGCAGTGAAGAGGGAGAACTGAGAAGAAAGAGCCATCAAAAAGGAGAGAACTTTATTAGGATTTCTTTTTCTAGAAGGAGACCTTTATACTATTCTATCTGAGGGGGGAAAGGACAGGTCTAGAAAGAGAAACTTAAAGAACTCGGGGACTGAGGTGAGATTTTTAATGCAACCATTTGTGTCCCTACAAATCTCAGTAGGACTTTTTACCATAGCTAGTACTGTCAAACACTTCCACCAAAGCACTAAGTTATCTGGTTTGGATTTTACCTGCCAGCACATACAGTGCTTCTGATTTAAAAGGTGACAGGACAAGCTGTTAGTGGCAATAGGACAAGGAGTAGACAAGAACTATGAAAACGCCAGACAGAGCCAGTGTCTGCCTACACTGGCTCGGCCCTTCTATGGTAACCTGGTAGAACTAACTCGTTTTTGGTATCTCTGGTCAGTTTACCCACAGCAATTTGGTGAGTCTAAATGCTCACAAAAGGTGCCCTGGCTGGGTGGCTCAGTTGGCTAGAGCATTGTCTCATGCGCAGGAAGGTTGTGGGTTCAATTCCAATTGGGGCATATACCTGGGTTACAGGTTTGATCCCCTAGTCAGCGCATACCTAGGGGGCAACCAATCGGGGTGTGTGTGTGTGTGTGTGTGTGTGTATTTTTCCATATATATATATGCTCACAAAAGGTAAGGCCTTAAGTTTAATGGAGCCAATTAAATGCTACCCCATCCTTTCTCCATCACCACTGGAGTAAAGGACAAGTTTTCTTGAGACATGGACCAACCTGAAAAGTTTATTTCATTCGATCTAATTCAGTCAACAAAATTCAAGTATATAATGACTCACTGGACTTGTATATTCTAGCTCAACAAATTGCAAACAATATCCCAATACTTTGAGAAAAGCATTCAAAGGCCACTGTGAATGCTGGTGTTTGTGCTTTAAAAGTGCAGGCATGCAAACAGATGAGACAGCAGTTGACTGAGATAGCACAAGCCTTGCAACTGGCAAGAAATCCAAGGAAGTCATGCATCAGCCAGCAGTAAGTATTACTGTTATACTCAATCGGAGATCACCACCAACACTACCTAGCTGGTACTGAATTCTGCTCTCAGCAACACTCTGCCATCAACATGCTGACAAAGGAAAATCACTGTAGGAGGTCAGTAGACCTTGGAGATAGTGTTGCGTGATAAGCACATCCAATTATATACCAAACTAAAGATCTAAAAAAAAATGCATGCTTGCCGAAACCAATATGGCTCAGTGGATAGAGCATCGGCCTGCGAACTCAAGGGTCCCGGGTTCGATTCCAGTCAAGGGCATATACCTTGGCTGTGGGCACATCCCCAGTGGGAGGTGTGCAGGAGGCAGCTGGTCGATGTTCCACTCTCATGGATGTTTCTAACTCTCTATCCCTCTCCCTTCCTCTCTGTAAAAAATCAATAAAATATATTTTAAAAATTAAAATTAAAATTAAAAAGATGCATGCTTGCACTCAACCTTTTTATTATTACTGTGAAACTTGACTCTTATCTCTAAAATCTTATTTCTTTAGCACTCAACAGTATTTAAAAGCCAGTCTCAACACAAAACATCAAAACAATGCCCACAAGTTCCATGTGTTACAGCATGTCTAATAACACTGAAGTCAGATTCACCATTTCTCAACTCAACAGGGCAACAGCAGGATTCCTAAATAGTTAGTGCACAGCAACAGCAATACAGTACTATAATAAAATAATAACTACCAGCCTCAGAGAAATGACAGCAGACATTCCAGAGACTTACAGCAATCCAAAATAAAGGGAGATGAAGTCCTGAAGGTTAACAGAGCCTCAAGCAGCAACAGAATCCCATCAACCAAGGGCTACATGGATTAACCAGAAGAGTGCATATGTTCTCAAGAGTAACCAGAGTAACTACCTTCTCAGCTACAAATATAGAAGCAGGTAATATTACTGACAAGAGTAGCATATTCTACTTTGAAAGCAAACAGTATCCTGTATATAAGAAAAACACCTCATTTTGGGCACATCCCAGAAACTCCCAGGAACCTAGGACTTAAAGATTTAAAAAAAGAAAAGAATAGGCATATTATAAAATTAATAAGCTTTTCTCTAGGATCTCCTAATTAGGAATTCTTAAATGCTCAAAATGTAGTTTCTGGACTAAAACAGTGACTGTTTAGTTTTCTAACAATGATGTAACAGGAGAGATGCATGTGACTTGGAGGGGGTGACCTGGGGCTGGGAAAAGTTGGCAAGGTATATAAAACTACCGCACAAGCCCTAGCCAGTTTGGCTCAGTGGGTAGAGTGTCATCCTGTGAACTGAAGAGTCTCGGTTCCAGTCAAGGGCACATGCCCAGGTTGTGGGTTCAATCCCCAGTGGGGGGCTTGCAGGAGGCAGCCAATCCATGATTCTCTCATTGTGGGTGTTTCTATCTATCTCTCTCATTCTTCCTTCCTCTCTAAAGTCAATAAAAATATATTTTAAATAAGTAAATAAAACTGCTGCACAGACCTGGCCAATGTGGCTCAGTGGTTGAGCATCGACCCATGCACCAAGAGGTCACTGAGGCTTTCAGGCTCAATCCCCAGCAGAGGGCATGGAAGAGGCAGCTGATCAATGTTTTTCTCTCATTGATGTTTCTCCCTCTTTAAAAATCAATAAAAACATATCAATTGACAGGGGGGGGGGAAAGTGTGAATATGCTTTTTTGGAAAACATTGTATATCAGAAAAATAGGATCAAAACTTAGCTTTGAGCCGAAACCGGTTTGGCTCAGTGGATAGACTGTAGGCCTGTGGACTGAAAGGTCCCAGGTTCGATTCTAGTCAAGGGCATATACAATACAATGGTTGTGGGCATATCCCCAGTAGGGGGTGTGCAGGAGGCAGCTGATCGATGTTTCTCTCTCATCGAAGTTTCTAACTACCTCTCTCTCTTCCTCTCTGTAAAAAATCAATAAAATATATATTTAAAAAACAAACAAACAAAAAAACTTAGCTTTGAATCTCATTAACTTACATGGCTCTTTGAACTTACCAGATACTGGAGAAAATAGAAAATTGGATTGTTAGTTGCCAGAGAGTTGATCTGGGATGGAGACGGGAATGCAAATAACCCTGCAGTCGGCCCAAATAGCTGGACACCACTGAGGAAGCAGCGTAAGTGAAGGCCTACCTTACTAAGGACCTTGGCCATTTCAAAGGTGCCCACAGTATCCATGTTGGCAGCAATGATGGGGATCCCAGTGTACATCTGCTTTGAGTTGCGAAATGAAAATGATCTTGTGAGATCCACCTGCAGATATGAACAGGAAAAAATGAGCATTTCATTCACCCAAGAAGCAAGTACTGCTGAGGAAAAATACCAGGAGTCTTTCTCAGTCCTGGTCCACCAGGGGAAGCTGGCTCACCTCACTTCGAGACTTAAGGGTACTGCGTTTGGGCCTCAACAAGACATCCTTGAAGTCCAGTTTGACGTCGTTGTCTATGTGAGGCATGGCGGGAGCTCCGGGGTAGCAAGAAATCTGAAGGTTGGAAGGTAAGGAAAGACCAGACGGGGGAGCTGAGTCAATAACAAAGCCTTCATGCTCTGTTAGGGCTGGCGGCAGGGCTCATCTCTCTCCTCGCTTAAAATGTCCAAAGTCTGGGCATTGGTCGAGGCGTGGTCGGTCCCTGAAGACTGCCATCTCCGACCGGCCCCACGGTCGCGATTACCCTCCGTGTCTCCACCCCAGGGGAGAATAGTTGGGAGGGAATCGTGAACTACCCTAAACAGGTACATTCTTTACCCTCCTTTCCCTTCTCCCTCCCCTGCAAAAAAGGAACGAGGTCAGAGAGTGATTGGGGGCCGAGAAGGAACGGGGGAGGGGTCCCACAACCCGTTTCCGGAATAGGGGTACTCACTTCCTGTGACCGCGGCCAAGGTGGCAGTTAACCGAAGTTCCCCGTGCTTAGCAACTAAGCCTTGTGGGCCACACCAACAGGTTCCGCTAATTGCGGGCGAGAACAATTAACTGTGGAATTCCGGCTTCGGCGGCGGCTGTGCGAGATCTTCTGGTTAACAGAGTTCACGCGCTGAGGTTGCCGTTGGTCTGGGAAGCGGACTACAACTCCCAGGGTGGAACGCGCGGAGCTGCCCGCAGGCAGGACGGGAAAAGTAGTTCGTTCCGCCCCGTCTTCCCACTAGACCCTGCTCGCCGGGGACTCTCAGGATCGCGGAGGCGTCATCTCTGCTCTAATTAAGCTGGCCGCCTTCTTTTTCTTTAGGACGCCACCGAAAGTAAACGCGGGGAGCATTTCTAAGCCTTTGGGGAATCCCGAGGAAAGGAGAGGGGGTGGAGCCAGCCAATGACCCGGAAGCAGAAGTGACTCCCACCGACAGAGTGCCGGGGAGCGGCAGCAGCCACCGCAGCGGTAGAAGCAGCGATTTATCTGTGTGCAGACCCAATATTGGAAGAAGATGCTAATTAAAGTGAAGGTGGGAGCAGCTAGTTAGCTTTGTCCAGACGCCATGGTACTGGGCTGGCCGCCTTGCCTTACGGGAGAAGCGGGGAAGGGAAACCACGCCTTTCCAGAGCCTGGAGGGCGCGGACACCCTCGGGGCTCCGCGCGAGGGGTGATGGGAAGCGGGGGGACTCTAGGTGTTTGATTGCGAGGGTCCGGCCCACCTCAGTGGCGGCGGGGTTTCTGTCCTTCCTGCTGTCTCGCCAGACGTATCATGACCCCGAAGGCCTCCTCTGTCAGAGTTCTCGCGGTATTCAAACCTCCCGCGGCCAGGGAGAAGACCTAGCCTCAGCTTGGCTCCCCTCTCTCTTAGATTCTTGGAATAAGCTCAGGTCTCCGTGCTGCGAGCCCAGGTTACCTGCTTCTCCCAGTCCGAGCGCAGCACAGAAAACCTTAGCCTGGGAACCCGGGGGGAGCTTCGGGGGGGAGGGAGGAGACGGTTCCAAGGCTGGATCGTAAGTCTTCGCTGGTTGTCAAGGGTTAGTGTCTCAGCCAGCCTTCAGGAGCCCAGACTGGGAGTGTTCAGTTAGGACCTGCCCTTAGCCAGGCATGTTGGGCCAGCCTCACTTCCTTGGCGGAGGCGGGTTAGTTAGTTGGTTACCAGCACTGCCCTAGTTCTTGGTACTAGCAGTGCTGACTTCATCTTCTCAGCTCCCATCATTTTTCCATTCCCAACCCTCACTAGTCCCATCTGCTATTTCCTCTTTTGTACTTGCAGACAGACAAAAATTAACAATTGATGCAGTGCGACATTAGTTTTGACTTTTTTTAAAAAATATATTTTTATTGATTTTACACAGAGAGGAATTGAAAGGGATAGAGAGTTAGAAACATCGATGAGAGAGAAACATCGACCAGCTGCCTCTTGCACACCTCCCCACTGGGAATGTGCCCGCAACCAAGGTACGTGCCCTTGACCGGAATCGAACCCGGGACCTTTCAGTCCCCAGGCCGACGCTCTATCCACTGAACCAAACCGGTTTTGGCATAGTTTTGACCTCTTTACTTCTGAGTAAGTCTAGCGTTACTTAGTCTATCAGCTCCTTAGTGTATTTGCTATATATAATAGCCATTCTTAACCTCTTCAGTTCTTCCAAACCATCCCTTAGTTAAGGATTGAGGCCGAACAGTATGGCCAAACTATATTGTTTTTCAAACTCGAGTAGTGGCCTATAAAAGAGTCACTAATTGTGCCAAGATCGGTTTGGCTCAATGGATAGAGCGTCGGCTTGGGGACTGAAGGGTCCCGGGTTCGATTCCGGTCAAGGGCATGTGCCTTGGTTGCGGGCATATCCCCAGTAGGGGGTGTGCAAGAGGCAGCTGATCGATGACTCTCTCATCGATGTTTCTAACTCTCTATCTCTCTCCCTTCCTCTCTGTACAAAAATCAATAAAATATATTTTTTTTTAAAAAAAAGAGTCACTAATTGTGAAGTCAATTTAAGGGTTCAGTGGGTAGTATGCAACTTAAAAAAAAAAAAAAAGAATAAAAGAAATATCAGGGTATACTTCTGGGTAAAAGTATTGTGTTACTACCCTGTTTCCCCGAAAATAAGACAGTGTCTTATATTAATTTTTTCTCCCAAAGTTGCGCTAGGTCTTATTTTCAGGGGATGTCTTATCTTTCCATGCGCTAGGTCTTATTTTCAGAGGATGTCTTATTTTCGGGGAAACACGGTAGTTCATATGTATTTCTTAATATGGGTCACTGTCAAAAAGTGTGAAGAACACTAGCAGATCAATGATCCAGGATCTTCTTTTCAATGCATCTTCTTTTCAATGCATAGGGTTTCTTGTGTCCCCTGAGTATACTGTTAGTTTAACAAACAGGTTATTATTATACTTGATGTTCAGTGTTTTGGAAACTTTTTAAAATATCAATCTACATTAAAAATTTTTAACTCATGTCTCAGACACCCACCCCCTCCCAAAAAAACACACACCTTATTATGTGTTATATGCTTTGACATTTCAATTCTAAGTTGATTTTATAACTCATTGATGGTTGAGACGTGCAGCTTAAAAATATACTGTGTTATAGATGGGCTTCTCAGGTTAAAAGTGTTTAAGAATCACCTGGGGATCTTGTGAAAATACTGATTCTAATTCAGTGGGCCTGGGATGAGACCTGAGATTCTGCATTTCTAACATGGTCCCATGTGATGCTGATACTGCTTGAGTAGCAAGGTTCTAGATTTTGTCTCTTCAAAATAATTTTTACTTACTACTTCTCTGAAATTGTCAGTTTCCTTTCCTGAAATACTCCTTTTTACCTTTAAGTGGGTTTCTCTATCTTCCATCTCTCTTTTTTGGTTGTTGTTTGCTACATTTCTCTATACGTTTAAATACATATAAAAGTGATTAGTTAGCTGTGAGTTATATAAATGATAGGTTTTATTGGCAGGACTCTTTTATCAATTACTAATTTTTCAACTTTTCTCTCCCCTTAGCTGACTTCTTCCATATCTCTTTCTGCAGTCCTTTACAGATCCTTCTGATTTAAATCTTCTCTTGATACTTCATCTTTCTAAAATTAAATACATCATCTTCTGTCTTAAGCTGGCTCCCCAACACTCATCTCATATATTGATCCTGCAAATCTACCAGGTATCTGGAACTCAGTTCTTTAGAATCATTTTCTCTTTTAGAATCTAATTTTTCCTTGATATTTCTTTTTTTGTTTGTTTGTTTTTGTTTTGTTTACTTTTCATTCCCATTACACTTATTCTGGTCTGGAGCCTCATTAACTTATGTCTTTATTTATGTGTGATGCCTCCAACCAGGTTTTTATATGGCCATGCCCTCTCTAAAGTCTAGAGCACATGTGTCAAACACAAGGCCCGCGGGCCAAATCCGTCCCGCCAGGCCTTGCAATGTGGCCCGCACCGCGCTGTCATCACTGCACTCCGCTGCGTTTCCATCATAATGACAGTTTATGACTGTTCAGTAAACCATTCGGCCCGCGATTTAGGCTGGATTTTAGATTTTGGCCCCTTCTCTGATTGAGTTCGACACCCCTAATCTAGAGTCTAAATCGAGACATAATATACAAAATTATAGTATACAGATCGTTAAACTTTTTCATCATATTGCTTCCTAACCCCAGATCCTGCATTAGTACCCTTTTAGCAGATAACTTTGGGCAACTATCTTTACTAAGTTCCATTTTTCTCATTCAAATGTTTTTTAAATATGTTTTTGTAATTGATTTGAGAGAGAGAGAGAGACATCATTAATGAGAGAGAATAGTTGATTGGCTGCCTCTTGCATACCCCACATTGGAGATCGAGCCTGCAATCTGGGCATGTGCCCTAACTGGGAATCGAACCATGACCTCCTGGTTCATAGGTTGACACTTAACACTGAGCCATGTTGGCTGGCTCAAATATGTTTTTTAACATACCGGTAGAATAAAACCCCAAATTCTTAAGGGTTCAGTTCAGTGAGTTTAACCACAGTATCTACTCATGTAACCATAAGATCTAGAACATTTTCACTCCTACTCTTATAAAAGGTTCCATAGGTTAGTTTTACTTGTTTTAGAACTTCCTATGAATTACAATGCAAAATTTTTGTGTCTGATTTTCTTCACTCAGCATTATGTCTGTTGTTGAGTATATCTGTATTTCCTTATAATTAAGTAGTATTCCATTGGATGGCAATGTCACAGTTTGTTCATCCTTTCTGTGTATGAACATTTTGGTTGTTTCTAGTTTCTGGCCATTATGAATAAGAGTCCTACGAACATTGTTATATAAGTCTTTTTGTGGTCCTGTTTTTCCTTTGGATAAATACCTAGAAATGGAATTAGTAGATCATGTGGTAGATATATATAACTTCATTTATTTATTTAATGTATTCTTTTACTTTTTTTATTTTAGAGAGAGAGGAACATCAATTTGTTGTTCCACTTGCTTATGCATTCATTGGTTACTTCCTGTATGTGACCTAAGGATCGAATCTACAACTTTGATCTGAAGGATACTTTAACCAACTGAGCTATCTGGCCAGGGCTTGATAATGTAACTTTAAACTGCTAAATAGTTCTTCTGGTGTACCATTTTATGTTCCCACCTGCAATGAATGAACATTCCAGCTGTTTTGCATCCTTGCTAATCATATCAGCCATTTTTGAAAAAATATTTCTATCAATATTTTACAGAGAGGAAGAGAGAGGGATAGGAAGTTAAAAACATCAATGAAAGAGAGACATCGATCAGCTGCCTTCTGCACATCCCCTATTGGGGATGTGCCCACAACCAAGTTACATGCCCTTGACCGGAATCGAACCTGGGACCCTTAAGTCCACAGGCGGACACTCTATCCACTGAGCCAAACCAGTTAGGGCCGTATCAGCCATTTTTATTTTAGTTGTAATAGTTGGTGTGAAATGTTATTTTATTTAGGTTTAAATTAATCAGTGCTGATTTTCACTCACCATAGCATTTTGACATTGCTCATTGTATTTGGACAGTAATATTCAATATGGCACTTCCTTGTTTACATAGATTTATTCTATTGATTATATGGCTCAGTGTTTCTTGATTGTAAGTCTTCACTTGAAAAATATTGTTGGCAGCCGAAACCGGTTTGGCTCAGTGGTAGAGCGTCGGTCTGCGGACTGAAAGGTCCCAGGTTCGATTCCGGTCAAGGGCACGTACCTTGGTTGCGGGCACATCCCTGGTAGGGGGTGTGTAAGAGGCAGCTGGTCGATGTTTCTCTCTCATCGAAGTTTCTAGCTCTCTATCTCTCTCCCTCTCTGTAAAAAATCAATAAAATATATATTATAAAAAAATATATATTGTTGGCAAAGACTGGATCACTTAATTTCTTTTATAGCCCCTCCAACCCCTAAAGCAGTGTGCTGGGCTTAAGTTCATCATATACATGTTAAATAGCATTGAATGCATTTTTGGGTCACAGTGAGCAGATCTGAGGGAAGAAGCCTAGTATTGCATGATATATAAAGAATATCTTTTAAAATTGTTCAGTTACTTTTTAATTATGGACAACTTCAAACATATACGACAGCATAGCAGTGTTTCCAAAGGGTGGTATGCGTACCCCCAGGGGTACGGGAAGAGTTTGGGGGGGGTACGAGTTGCACCGGAGTTTGGTGGGGATATGCACTGCACTGTGCTTAGCTGCGCCTGATTCTACGTTCTCATGGAAACTCAGCATTACGAAAATTATAGAAGGCGTACACATGTGTCAAAAGTTTGGGAAACACTGCCATAGAGAAAGACATACTGCACACTTTACCCAGTTTCAAAAACTATGATTTCATGGTCCATCCTATTTACACTTACCAGTCCTCCCTCCTTAGCTGATGTTTTCTGAAACAAATCCCAGCATATGTTACTAATATATTTCAGTATTTAGCTATCCACTGAACCACACCAGCTAGGGCAACTTTTTTTTTTTTTAAGATTTTTTTTAAATATATTTTTTAATGAATAACATAAACTGATTAACAAAAACAGACCCAGAGAAAGAGAAGCAGCGATCAGACTCTCAAACCTCAGAGGAAAAGTAGGGGAAGGTGAGGTAAGGGGAGGAGATCGACCAAAGGACTTGTTTGCATGCATGTGGGTCTAGCCAGTGGCCATGGACAACAGGGGGGTGGGGGCATATGTAGGGAGGGGTTTGGGATGGGAATGGGGTGATGAGGACAATTATGTGATACCATAATCAATCAATAAATTAAATAAATAAAATATATTTTTATTGATTTCAGAGAGGAAGGGAGTGGGAGAGAGGGATAGAAATATCGATGATGAGAAAAATTCATTGATTGGCTGCCTCCTGCACACCCCTTACTAGGGATAGAGCCCACAACACTGGCATGTGCCCTTGACTGGAATCGAACCTGGGACCCTTCAGTCCATAGGCCGACACTATATCCACTGAGCCTAACCTGCTAGGGCTAGGACACCATTTTAAGTGTACAGTCAGTAATTGTATTAGGATGTCAGCAGCCCTTAGCCTATAGAAGAAGTCAAGAAGACCAGAGCTGCAGTTTAGGATTTACATAGAAGACTGGAGAAGATATGGGAGAATAGAATGTTGAATTCTAGTGTTACTTAAGAAGTTATTCAGAGGTTATCTCTGATATCCTTGAGAATTCTTTGAATTGTCTAAATATTAATTTCTACCACTGATATACAACAAGATCCTTCTGGCTCAAAGGAATGCTATCTTTAAGATACCTCTCATTGCTATCTCAAGCAAAAAAATAATCAATTTTAGTGGGGTGGGGTGGGGTAGGGGATGTGAAATAACCTTTGGGACTAAGGTCAAATGGTTCACAGAACCTTGCCCTCTCAAACACATCCACAGCCTAAAAATGTTTGATGAATTTAGATGTGGTCAACGCCTTCCGATTCTTTAGAGCAGCTTTGCCAAGAATGTACATCTATCTCTTAGAAGGCAGTAGATCCAGAGACCAGGACAGGACATTTTACCTAAGAGACAAATTGTACGGTGGGCTGTAGGACTCATGAAACCTTTGCCTGTTTCAGACGCTGACCGGAAAGGAGATTGAGATTGACATTGAACCCACAGATAAGGTAATACCCCAACACATCTTCGTGCCTGTCTCCCTACATTTGTGTGGGTATGCTGATGAACTTAGTCCTTTGCTTTCATGCTGTCTGCATAGCTCTGTTCTTTCATTTCCATGGTCCTACCCCTGTCTACCATGGGCATCCCCTGACTACTTGTGCTTAGGTGGAAAGAATCAAGGAGCGTGTGGAAGAGAAAGAGGGGATCCCCCCACAGCAGCAGCGGCTCATCTACAGTGGTAAACAGATGTGAGTTTGGAATGGAAATGAGGGGTGGCGATCTTACATGAAGATGAGGGAGCAAATACTGGGGATGGAGTAGTCTGCTTCTTTTTATTGGTGGCCTAGACCCTTTGACAATTTAGTGATGCCTATGAACCCCTTCTCAGAATCTGATTTCTGCAGACATAAAATACATAGAATTACAGAAGAAGCAAATTATATTGAAAATATTTTCAAGATGCCTGCAAATAATTGTAATATGTGAAAATACCTAATTTCTATCATTAATAGGTTACCCATATTGCTTATACCAGTATGGATTTTGCCTATGTTTACAATTTAAAGAAATATTAGATTTCAGATAGAAATTAGTAAAAATAAAGATGTAATTTCTCTCATCTGAGTTTATAGCGCCCCCCCCACACACACACACAGATCCATGAAACCCAGGTTCAAAGCCCTGTTCTAGATGATTTCTCTAATCCTTTCTATGCCTTCTTTTCCTGCAGGAATGATGAGAAGACAGCAGCTGATTATAAAATCCTAGGCGGCTCAGTCCTCCACCTGGTGTTGGCTCTAAGAGGAGGAGGTGGTTTCAGGCAGTGATGGACCCTCTCTCCATTTTACCTCCTTACCCTGTCTCTTGTAATGAGGCATTATATATCCTGTCACTCTCTGGAACACCAGAGTCACTGCCCCCTCTCCTGGATGTCCAGTCTTATGTGTTTGTGGGTAGGAGACTGTGAGGACCCCAGGATGCAGTGTTCCTGTCCCAAATGGCCCCTGCTGGCCTTTGGGTTTAGTTTGCAGTCCTGTGTACTTCCCTCTTATGGCTATGTCCCTGGTTGTCAATAAAATATTTCCTGGCCTCCTGGACTCTTTCTTCTGTTACACAAACATGACTGAAGTAAAAATGGACTCAGTGCACACCAGGTATAGCAGGCTGAAAGAGGAGGACAATGGAAGGGAATGTGCCCTCAGAGTGATTACCACACTCGGTGGCAGTGGAGCACTGGAGCCAGACCTCACCAGTTCATAAGAGCTAATAATTGGCAGCTCTTTACAACCCCATATTAAGTAACTTCATGTTGGTAGCTTGAAATTGGCCATGGTAGAATATTTATAGTAATTGGCAAACTGAAAATCAGTTTCTCCCCCGAAACTGGTGGTTATACACCTATCATCATATTACTGACATGGGAGGTAGAAACCAGGAGAGAATTATCACCTACTGGACATTTGGGCCTGACTTGAGAAAGGCCTGAAGGGTTTTACTTATTTGAAGATACCACGTACTTTATGGTTGGAATATTGCTGAGGGCTCTGGGCTCTATACTGTGGAAAAGCTCTGATTAGAACAGAGCTTGAGTGAGGAGTGACAAGCCATGAAGGCTCTCTTGTCTCAGTTGGTAAGGTGAAATGAGGGACTGGTGCCAGAAGAAAGGTCTTCCTTTCCTTGGCGTCTCTAGTAGAATCTAGGGGTTGAAGCTGAAAACGCTGTGGTCCAGCGTGCGGTCGCGTGCGGCACTCGCTGCAGCCCTTCCCAGCCTCCACCGTCAGGTGGCACCCTTGCACGGCCTTCACAGCCTGGGGCGTGACAGCTGCCGAGCGCGTCTGAGCCCCAGAGGAGGCCCCGCCTCCCTGCACGCAGCCGTGGGCGCCGGTGATGGCGCAGCTCCCTAAGCTCGCCGTCTTCGATCTGGGTGAGGGACTCGCTGCGGAGAGTTTCCTAGGGCGCGCTCCTTTTCCAAACCCCAGTTCCAGTTCTCGGGGCCCTGCCCCCTCCAGGCTGAACCCTCCCTCTCTTCCCCGCGCAGATTACACGCTCTGGCCGTTCTGGGTGGACACGCACGTAGACCCCCCATTCCACAAGAGCAGGTGAGGGCGGGCGGGAGAGGACGGGCCAGGGGCCGGGCCGGAGCTGAGTGCATTCTCTTCTCCAGTGATGGATCTGTGCGAGACAGTCAGGGCAGGACCATCCGACTGTACCCAGAGGTGCCCGAGGTCCTGGATCGATTTCGAGGCCTTGGGGTACCCATTGCAGCTGCTTCACGGTAAGAACAACTAAAAAAAACTGTCAATCTAATGTTGATAGATGCATACGTGAGACTTCTTGTGTAACCCCTTGGTTACAAAAATTTAGGCGGAAAATTTTAAGTATTTTACATTTTTAAAATTATGACTTCTCCCGTGCCTTTTTATTATTATTATTATTATTATTATTATTAATCGTTGGCTTAGCACCCCCTATGTCAGACAGGAAGGATTTGAAGTAGAATAAGGACCTCGGAAGCCTAACCATCCATCCTGGAGAAGCAGCAAGTTGATTTCCCGCTGGTGATACATAACTTCACTTGCAGCTCAGGCCCTCCACTCCCCTGATCGCATCTAGGACATCTTTTCGCAGGACAGGTGAAATTGAAGGGGCCAACCAGCTACTGGAGCTCTTTGACCTCGCCAGATACTTTGTTCAAAGGGAAATCTATCCAGGCAGCAAGGTCACACACTTTGAGAGGTATGAGGGAGATGAGGGGAGAAGTAGGGAGAGAAGAGCAGAGAGACTAGAAGAACTAAGAAGCCAGCGTGGTTACTCCCCTGCCCTGCCCTGCTTTGCCCAGGCTGCAGAAGAAGACTGGAGTTCCTTTCTCCCAGATGATCTTCTTCGATGATGAGAAGCGGAATATTGTAGATGTCAGCAAACTGGGTACTGAGCGGTGAGAAGAACTATTTGGGAACTGGGGAAGAAAAGGTTCCCAGGAGAAGTTGGGTGTAAAAATATCTCTTTTCTTTCTAGGTGTTACCTGCATTCATGTTCACAATGGGATGAATCTTCAAATCCTAACTCAGGGATTAGAGACATTTGCAAAGGCCCACGCAGGACCCTGAGGTCCAGTCCTGTGGAGGAGACTCATTTGAGGCATAAAACTCAAGAAAACTGGGAATGCTTTTTCAGGTGCATGTGTAAATTATAAAGTGTATTTGTGTGTCAGAAGAAATCTTATCACAGTGTGGAGTTGTTTGTTTTTCTCGCGTGTGGACCAGGGTTGGCTGCTCAGAGTGTGAGGGTTAGACTGCATCAGGCTCTGCCTTACAGCCTTGTGGCAAAACCAGGACTCTGATCCCCTCGTACTGGCCCCATCCCCATACCTTGTCCTGAGCTGTCCAGGGCATGAAGCACTAAGTCTTCCACTGTCCCCTGTACATTTCTTTTCAGGAAACAGTTTATTTTTGGGGTGGGGGTAGCCTTTGTGTGTGTGTGTGTATTTTATTTTTAAATTTTTAATTTTGGTTACATAAGTCTCCTTCCCTCTCCCCCCAAAATCCCCATTGACCTCTCCCCGGCCGCCCCCACTCCCCAGCACATGCCCTCACCCCACCCACCCACCCCCGTCTGTGTCCATTGCTTATGCTCACAAGCATGCATTCTATTATAGTCCTTTGGTTCCTCTCTTCCCGCTCGCCCCGCCCCGCCCCGCTCCCCTCCGGCGGGACGGTCTGGGGGACGGTCTGCTGGAAGCGGCTGCTGTAAACCCGGTTGTGTGTTTGGGGCTGGAGGTCGCCTCACGTGACCGCAGTGGCTTCCGGGGCGCCTGGTGATGTCGCGGCGGCGGCCGCCGAGAGGGGATTGGCCGGGCGGGTGCTGAGTGAGGGCCGCACGCTCCCAGGAACCAGGGACCAGGCGGAAGCGTGCGGACCCGAGGGGCTGAGGCGGGAGAGGCAGGGCGATGAGTGGTCTCAGCCGGTTCTTCGGGAGGGGTGAGCGCTGGCCACGGGGAAAGGGACGGGGACGGAGACGGGGAAGAAACCCAGGGGACAGGCTGTCCGAAAACCCCGGTGATGGCCCAGCAAGGCCTGCAGTGCCGGGAGGCCCCCCTGGCCAGAACGCCAGGCTGCCCGCCGCCTAGGCTGGAAGAGCTCGGGAGTGGAGGGCGGCGGCGGTGCTGGCGCCCACAGGTTAGGTTCCGACGGCCAGTGTCCAGTCCTTTCCAAAACTCTGGTGCTCTTCAGGGCAAGAGGGAATCTGAAGAAAGGGGCCTTCTCAAAGCTCCTATTTGGTATGGGAAGACAAGCAAAAACTGGCATTTACAGTATAATATAGCACTGCATGGTGACGTTCGTGAGAACCAGGGAAGCATAGAAGAAGCAGGTGCCCAGGGTCCAGATGGCTAGAAGTATGGCAAGTGGAGAATTGAGGTACCCCAGGAGGGGGTGCCTGCGTGTGTGCGCAAAACAAAGGCTGGAAAGAGGCTATTAAGGTGGAAGAGTAGTTCCTCGAATATGTGCGCTGAAGGGGAAAAGAAAGCAGAAGGAGGTGTAGTTGGAGATGATCTTGTGTGTCTCACTTTTAAAGTTTCGGATTTTATCCTGTAGGGGATAGTAAGTATGGAAGGATTTTAAGCAGGCAAGGGCCATCAGATTTGTGGGCTGAGGGAAATAACTGAGAAGTGCAGAAGATGAAAGGAAAGATTAAATCAGGTTTTAATTCTTTTTCTCTAGCCCCCTGTACTTCATTTCATTTAAGCCTGTGGTGTCAGGACCTTGGGTATCTCCTAGGATAGTAAATGGAACAGTGATTATAAAAAGTGACAATTCTGGTGGGGGATATGATAATGGGAGGTTATGCATATGTGGGTGCAAGGGGCAAATGGAAAATATCTGTACCTTTCACTCAGTTTTGCTGTGACTCTAAAACTACTCTAAGAAATAAAGTCTACAAACAAATTTTTAAAGGCTGGAAATGACTTTGAAGAGGCAGCTTGGCTTTGGAAGACATATTTCCACATTTCAATTACTGCTCAATCTCTTATTAGTTGTGATTTCATACCCAAAAAATGTTAATGTCTTTGTGCCTGTTTTCACATTTGTAAAGTCCGTTCGTGTAGAGTCGTTTGGGGATTAAAATAACACAGCCAGGTGCCTAGCACATACCATGCATTCCATGATTGGTGCGTAATTTTCTCTCTTCACACAATATGGGCCTTCTCTATTGGACTCCAGGGAAGAAGGAGAGGGGACCAAGCCCTGAAGAGGCCATACAGAAACTGAAGGAAACAGAGACGATACTGATCAAGAAACAGGAGTTTCTGGAACAGAAGATCCAACAGGAGCTACAAACAGCCAAGAAGCATGGGACCAAAAATAAGAGAGGTGACAGGGGAAAGGTGCCGATCGGGAGGACCCAGGTGGGAAGCAGGGGCTTCTGACTCTGACGTTCAAGGTGTGGGCTGGGTCAGCTGCCCTACAGGCTTTGCGGAGGAAGAAAAGATTGGAACAGCAGCTAGCACAAACGGATGGGACGTTATCCACCCTGGAGTTTCAGCGTGAAGCCATCGAGAATGCCACCACCAATGCTGAAGTGCTTCGCACCATGGAGCTTGCTGCCCAAGGCATGAAGAAAGCCTACCAGGACATGTGGGTATGGGGGGAAAGGGTCAAGCACAGGACAGGAGCTGGCTGTTATGCTTTGGATCTTAAAAGCTCTCAGAATGTGAATCTACAGTATAGACACCTATGATGGCTAGATGTCTGTCAGCCTCCCTTCTTGCAAGAATCTCTCTTTTCTGGCTAGAAAAATTATTTTTCTAATTTTCAAAGACTCTTCAGAAAAGGGAATATAATCTATTCCCAGCCCCACCCCAGTTCCCATGTGAATTCTTGCCATTTTTCAGTTTGCCATTGTAACTTGCCTAGTTACAATTTTCCAGGGATCTCTTATACCTGCTAGCCACGGATTTATCAGCGAGGCCACAGGCAAGGGACTTCCTGTGAGATCAGAAGGTCAGGGGGGCAGTTGCCTGATTTCTTGGCTGTCTGTTTCTCAGGGACATTGACAAGGTGGACGAACTGATGGCCGACATCACAGAACAACAGGAGGTGGCCCAGCAGATTTCTGATGCCATTTCTCGGCCTGTGGGCTTTGCAGACGATGTGGATGAGGTGATTGGGAGTGAGGGGTCAGGAAGTTCTTGGGGAAAGCATGGGACCAGCCAAAAACAATGAGAATTGGAGGGCAAGTTTAGAGGGGAACATATTGTTTTCAGAAGCAAAGGTTTCCTTTCTTCATCTTGTATCTTGTCGTTCCCGATCTAGGATGAACTGTTGGAGGAACTAGAGGAGCTGGAACAGGAGGAATTGGCTCGGGAGTTGTTACATGTGGGCGACAAGGAGGAAGAACCCCCAGTCAAACTGCCCAGTGTGCCCTCTGCACATCTGCCCGCAGGGCCAGGTACCCAGGGCTGTTCTGATGCCTCGGGGACTTGAGAGGGTGGGATAGAAATGGGAGAGATTTCCTCATCCATCTGCCTTAAAGGACCAGGCAGAAAGGGCGGCTGCGAAAGTTGCACAGGTTGTTGTGAGGGGACCTGGCGAAAGAGGAATGGGGACTGAAATCCGGTCTGTGCTCCACTCAGCAAGCTGTGTTCCCTGGTGTAGGGCTGCAAATACTGTGCAAAACAGGCACCTTTTAAAAATTTGCACGAAGATACAGGATTAGCAGCAGCCCAGCAAGCAGAAGTACCAAACCTTTAGGTTCTTTGCTGGGGAGAGTGAATTCGGCAGGTTCCGAGTGCTGTAGCAAGGGGTGATTGGAAGATGCTGAGGCTTTAACACGTCTTTCTCTGGATATCCTTTCCCCAAAGCTCCCAACGCGGATGAAGATAAAGAACTTCAGCAGTTGGCCGAGTGGGTATCCTGACGAGTCGGCTTATCTTCCTGATGCTGCCTTCATTGATCTCTTTTCCTTAAGTGCCAAGTGCTGAGCTAAAGGAACATAGCCTTTTGGGGAGGCCCTGCTGAGGGTGGTGGGATAGCCATGCCAGGGAAAAGTCTGTTGCCCTCCAGTCCCTGGCTCAACTCTGAAGAAGGATCTTGGTGCGGGAGGAGCCTCTGGGCTCCCTTCTCTTTGATAGCAGTTACAGTGCCCTCGTCTTCAATAAAATTGGGCAGCCAAAACCGGTTTGGCTCAGTGGATAGAGTGTCGGTCTGTGGACTGAAAGGTCCCATGTTTGATTCTGGTCAAGGGCATGTACCTTGGTTGCGGACACATCCCCCGTGGGGGATGTGCAGGAGGCAGCTGATCTATGTTTCTCCTCAATGTTTCTAGCTCTCTATCCCTCTCCCTTTCTCTCTGTAAAAAATCAATAAAAAGTATTTTTAAAAAATAAAAAATAAATAAAATTGGGCAGATGGAATCCTAGTGCTTATACTGCCTTGTCTCCACCTGAAACTTGGAGCTGTTTCAGGCAATGAATAGTAACAGGAATAATGAAGGGGCATTGGAACATAGACTAAATGTTTCCAATATCTTACCTACTAGGTTTATCTTTCAAGTTGGTTTGTCCTAGAGTTGCGAGAGCTGTGGTTGAGGAAACTACCATCTGTTGCTTATCTTAGAACTAGAGCTTTCTCTGCATCTTCCCTCATCACTTTCCCCCAGGCAGCGTTTCACAAGAGAGCCCCATTATTTACCACCCATTTCCTTTTGCAAAGCCCATTATTAATGACAGGGAGGGAGAATACAGGGATAAAGGGGCAAGGAGCTCTCCTTTATCCAGAACCCATGTTAGTAGACTTGAACGGTCACTTTTCTGTCTAGGAGCAATAGTGTACGGGCTATGATACACTAGGGTCGTTTCAATAGTGAATTTAGAGAAGTGACAAGGAAAAAGATACTTCATATATCCCGATACCCGTTTTTTTCCTTTAAAAAACAAAGACATTTGTATTGCTTTCAGAGAGGGAGGGAGAGAGAGAAACATCAATGATGAGAGAAAATCATTGATCGGCTGCCCCCTACTGGGGATGGAGCCAGCAGCCCAGGCATGTGCCCCACCTGTAACTGAACTGAGACCTCCAACCACTGAGCACCACTGGCCACACTTAACCCATTTCTAAAAGAACAAACAATGCTGTCCCTTTAGACCAGTGGTCAGCAAACCACTGCTTGTAAGCCACATGTGGCTCTTTGGCCCCTTGAATGTGGCCCTTCCACAAAATACCACGTGCGGGCACGCACATACAGTGCTATTGAAACTTTGCGGCCCATGCGCAGATGTTGGTTTTTGGCTCTCAAAAGAAATTCCCATCATTATACTGGATATTTGGCTCTGTTGACTAATGAGTTTGCTGATCACTTCTTTAGACTATAGACAGAAGCAGAGCCATGACCAAACAGAGCAACCAGGGCCCCTACCCTATGACTTGACCATTTAAAGTGCAAAGAGCTGAAACAGGTTTGGCTTGGTGGATAGAGCGTCGGCCTGGGGACTGAAAGTTCCCAGGTTCCATTCTGGTCAAGGGCATGTACCTTGGTTGTGGGCACATCCCCAGGGGGTATGTGCAAGAGGCAGCTGATCGATGTTTCTCATTGATATTTCTAACTATATATATATTATTGATTTTTTTTACAGAGAGGAATGGAGAGAGATAGAGAGCTAGAAACTCGAGAGAGAGAGAGAGAGACACCGATCAGCTGTCTCCTGCACATCCTTTGGGGATGTGCCCGCAACCAAGGCACATGCCCCTGACCGGAATCGAACCCAGGACCCCTCAATCTGCAGGCCTAAGCTCTATCCATTGAGCCAAACCGGCTTTGGCTAAAATATATATGTTTTTTAATTAAAAATAATAAAGTGCAAAGAAATGTAAAATAGTGAACATGTACTTAGTCAGAATAATGAAGCTTCCCTAAAGCACGTTTTCATCTGAGCACCCCCTCCCCCATGAGCCAAATATGAACTACACTGTGAATGACACTGTGGACTTAACAGCTGTCAAGATTCCTAGTCACAGGCTCTGGGCAGAAACCCACCTCTGACCCTCAGCAGTGTTCCCTGCTAAGATTCCCTGAGGAAAGAATATCTTTGACCCCAACTGATGAAACTAAATCAGAATTAGATTTATTTTTGGTATAAAAGATTTTTGCCCCAGACCCTTCCTGCTTTGCTCCTCTCTCAACCCCTGCCTCAGCCACTTTCACATATTGGTTTCCAAGGATGCGGGACAATTCACTGTGTTGAGCGGCTGGCACATGGCCTCGAGCAGCCTGATCTCATGGGTGGGTTGCTCGGGCTGGAACTTGATCACCCATGGGTCCTTGATGATGTCCAGGATGGTGGCACGCTTGGTGGCTTGACGTAGCGTCTGGAAGACCAGGTTCTAAGGCAGGGGAGAGAGGGGTCTTGGCTGAGCCTCCCATTATGCCACACAGGCAATGAACAGGGGACCTAAGAACGAAGCAGGATAGCCCATCACACCACTCTGATGGAAGGGGCTCTGGCCCTGATTTTATCCTGAAGAACCAGGCCTTTAACTCCCTGGAGGGGAAGAGGAGGATGGATTCATTGGGTGGGGGTGGGGGTGGGGGAGTGGGAGGGTCCCTTGTATAATCCTCTTCTGGCCTAAAAAGATAGGTGGATCCTGCTCACCACTCACTTCTAAGGTGCGGAGCCCCGTGGTCGGCCCTTTAAGTCCTTCCCACTCTTCTAGGGCAGGGGCTAAAGTGCAAGATGGCTTTGGCAGGGAAGAGCCTCTCCGGGTTGGGAAGCCTAGGTTGGGTTCCCTCCCTGTGGGTCCTCCCCGAGTCCTCCGTACTATTGGGGGAGCCAGCACCTTGCACTCCGGGGAGATGGACAAATTAGGTGGAAAAGAGACCTCCTTCTGAGTCTCTTTCAGCAGCTTCTTGAGATTGGTGTCATCAAAGGGCAGGCGGGCAACCAGTAGAGTGTAGAGGATGACGCCCATGCTCCAGGTGTCGGACAGGAAAGGGTTGTAAGGTAAGCCCAACAAGATCTCTGGGCAGGCATAAGCAAAGCTGCCGCAGTAGGTCTGGCTGAGGTGGGTAAAACAGTCCCTTTGTTGTAAAGAAGGGCTATTACGCACAGTATAGTTAGAAGGTACCATCTTGGCAAAGCCAAAGTCTGATATCTTCACATTCTCCCGCTTGTCCAGCAATAAGTTCTCCAACTTTAAGTCCCTATAAGGAGCAGAAAAGCTGGGGGTCAGGGAGAGGACTTAGTATTAGACTCAGAATGGAAGGGCCAGGGGCCAGAGGGTAGAGGTGAGGAAAGGCATGGTGGGAGAGAGATGCCATTGTGAGAAAACAAAGAGGAAGGAAGCCATGAAGTTGTGAGCCGAGCCCAAAGAGGAAAGAGGGTGGTATCTGAGGACCCCTGGGAGCTCGCCATTCATAAAGCGCTCTCCTCACAGTGGGTACTTAATAAATGTTCTTGACCAGCTGACTAAAAAATATGGATGAATGGGCCTAGATACTGAGAAGGGAGGTCAAAGGAAGGAAAAACCAGGACAGAAATGTCCATAAAAGCCCCTTGAGAGCCCAAAGGCCCCGGTCTGGTGGCAGCACTCACCGGTGCACGATGCCCTTGCTGTGCAGGTAGGCGATGCCCAGGGTCATCTGGGAGAACCACTTGCCCGCAAGGGGCTCAGAGCAGGCCCCGTAGCGCTGGACCCATTCGAGGACATCGCCGCCCTGAGCCAGCTCCAGAATTATGTACACACGGGACGTGGTCTCGATGGCCTGGTAGAAGTTGATGAGGTTCTTGTGCCGCAGGACTTTCATTACCTGGCCCCAGAAGAGGGACCCATCAAGCCTGGGAAGGGAGAACCGTGGCTGTGCTCCCAGCCCCCTGCTCGTTCCGTGCTGCTTTCATAGAACTTTGCAATAGCAACAAAATAGGGCTTGGTGGCCTGTGGGCAAACCCTGTGCTTTGCACTTTCCCTTTTTGAGGGCTGATGGTAAATGAGTGGAAAGAGAGTGAATTTATATCAGTTCTGGTTTTGGAGGTTTCCGGCCCCATTCCCTCCTAGTCATACCTCTTCTGAGAAGCCTTAAGCAGCTTGGTCATCAATTCCCTCTTCCTGTCCCCTTTCTAACCTGTATCTCACGAGGCAGGAACTTGTTAAGATAGTCCTCAGAGGCCTTCTTCTTTGAAATGATCTTGACAGCCACCATGACCTTCTGCTTTGTGTAATAAGCTTCATACACTGTCCCATAGGAGCCATTGCCAATGGCCTTGCCCACTTCATAGCCATACTCCTCCATGACGGAGCGGTAGGCTGGAGTGGAAGTGGTTGGTACTGGATCCTGGGTGTCTCCCTTCCCCATCTCTTGGGCTTGCTGAGAGCAGGGAGCTATGCTACTTAAGAGCCTCCTGTCTGCTCAGAAAACCAACACCTTGAGCCACTGAGGGCTAGGGTACCAAAGTGAAGTTAGTCTCCAAGTGCTTGCCTGTGTAGTCACACAAATCTGGGATGCTGGGTTCAGCTCTCCACTAGGAACATGGAAGGGGAAAAGGGAGAAGCAATTCTTTGTCTTCACTAGCTGTTATTACTCATTCTCCTCTTGATTATGGAATTCCCCAAGGTCCCATGTTCCGCACACATCACAATCCACCTTCTATTCACCACTGGCCACAAGGCTTGAGAATGAAGTGGTTTGGAACATATTCCTGGGGCACCTTCACAGTCTGGAGAGACTCCCTCCATAGATATGGTCACTTCAATCATTCATGTTTATTGAGCACCTACTATGTGCCAGGTCTCAGTGTGCTGAGTACTGAGATAAAATAAGCAACAAGGCTAGTAGACCCTGTGCTCCCAGATTTTATATCTGGCGTAAAAAACACATGAGTATGAGAATTTTTTTTTAAATTAATTTGAGAGAGGAGAGAAACATCAATGATGAGAATCACTGATTGGCTGTCTACTGCACACCCCCTACTGGGGCAGGGGAAGGGGGAAGCATCAAGCCCGCAACTGGGCTTGTGCCCTTGGCAGGAATTGAACTTGGAACCTTTTAGTGCTCAGGCCAACACTCTATCCACTGAGCCAAACTGGCTAGGGCAATGAGTGTGAGAATATAAAGAGAATTGAAAGGTATTGTAGAAGCAATTCTAAAGAATCTAACTTTAAAATTCATATATTTTTCTG